GCACAAGTTCAGCTTTCAAAGCTGAGTTCCTGATCCAGCAGTTGGATCTGTGCAGGAAAGTCCTGTGCAAGCACCCAGACCCAGTGGCAGGGCTGGGGTATGCGAGTAGTTCCTGAAGAGCTCTGCAGGCGTGCCACGCGCTGTCTTCGTGTCGAGTGTTAACTTCATAGCTAGGAGCACAAGAGGCATAAAACTCTGTTAAAGTTATATGCTAATAATTGAAATGTCTCCTACCAGTGAATGACTATTTATTCCATCCCAGTCCTTTGTCAGAACGAATCCCTGTGTGATTTTTTTGAGTCGGGCTGAAAACACCTGTAAATAAGTCTAATCATAGGAGTGCTGACAAACCTTGGCCTGTAGTGGTGGTGAGAGCTGCTACAGGATAATACAACTTTAATGTAATGAACTAATAAACTGCTACGTCATGGTGTGTGCTGCCTTAAAATATCTTTTGTTGTTCTTTTCAAGCTAGAGTATGAATGTTTGGGGAAAATTGTTAAAGACATGCAAATGCAGGCTGTGCTTAGCATGAGGCAATTGTTCATCTTTGTTTTAAATGAAGTTGTAAGATTACTATGCAAATGTATTTTATTAAAGGGACACATAAAAGGATCTAGTTTGTCTGTTGTGGTTTTTTGTTCATCTGGGGAGGTTTTTTTTCCCCCATCTGAATAGCTTGGTACAAGCATTGCGTTAACTGTCTCCATGGCAGAGCCATTTAATTTTGTTTTTCACCTCATGAAAATCGAATCATAAATTTCTTCCGTTGTTGTAGAGAGCATATATGGCATATAGTGATAGGGGGAGGCTGGATTTGAAATTTTATGCAAATCGTTTCCCAGGGCGAGATGGAAACTAGCCTTTTTGTGGGAATAAATTTGCTGAATTAGTTCCTTTCACTGGTTTCAAAAAAGCTGTGGGCACAGCGGCTACGGGCACAGCTATAGGCAGTGACAGGAGTACGTTTCAAGTGGACTTGCCTTATGCGGCCAGCAGAGACTGTAAAGTGGCTACGGGACTACTGTCATGCCCAGCCGCGGCATTTAAGATGAGCGAGATGTTCATATTATTCTGTACTCTCTTTTCTCAGGTAGCCTGGAAAAATAGAGGCAGGTTAATATAGTCATGAGTTCAACACCTTATCTGCTTTTTCCAGCTATATCAACTCGTTTGAGCTTAAAAAAAAAAATGGAAAAAAACCTTCTTCTTACAAATGCGGTTTCCATAGGCCACTTCTGCCCCTAAATAGCCTTCTTTAGGGACCCAAAGTAGCGATACCTCTGGGCTTACTTAGGTACAGACAGATCCTTCAGGGAAAGTGCTGGAGCTCATGCTGGAGGCTCAAGACCTCTTTCCAGATGAAAAATTCCTGTCATTTTTTTAATGCATCTTTCACTGTTTATTGCGTTTGGTGAGATGGACAAAGCACTTATGCCCAAGCAGATCTCAGGCATCTTTGAAAGTCTTTTATCCATCTGTTTTTAACTCAGTTCTCTTGAAATGCTTTTAAGTGAAGAGTTTTAATTCACTGCCCCCCTCCCTTTTTTTTTTTTTTTAAACTAGCAAAAAAAAAAAAGAAATGTTTGGAAATGGTGATAGGTTTTGTTCATCTCCCTTTCAGAGAAAGGGTTGGGGAGGGCTGTGTTTTTCTTTTTTCTTCATGAGAGAGTGTCACTCTTCCCCTAGAACTTACCAGTGTCAAATCGAAAACATGTCCGTAATTCAAAAGGTTTTTTTTTCTTCTCCATTTTCCAAGTGTTTGAATCTCCTGCAGAATATCTTTGGACTACGAAACTTTCTCTGTATTTTTTCATGCAGGGTTAGTTACGTCAGTAGGAAGAAAGTATTTCTTCTTCAGGTATATTTGGAAAGGGAAGGATAATTTTAAACAGTTTAGAGACTGAGATTTCCTGTTTATAAACTCTCCAGCGTGTTTTACCCTGCTGCTGCAAGGTAGCTGCTTCTGCACCTTGGAGAACAGGCTTTATCCTGAACAGTACCTGGGTGTAGGAGGCATTGCTGGGGTGGTCGCCCGGAGTTTCAGAGGTACCAAATCTCCCCCGCTTGCTTCGTTAGAGGCCGTTCTCGGAAGGGAGCTGGGCAGGTCATTAGCACAGCCCGGCGCGTCTCTCGCGGTGGGAGAGGCAGGCTGCGTTGCCCTCCAGAGCTGACACCAATTTGTTACGCGGTCAACAGAGCGAGGTCAGCCCCAGCTTAGGTAGGTGAGAGTCTGCTCCGCAGCTCCTGGGAAATACTCACTTCTTTGCGTTAGCTGCATAGGGAGCTTGGGATGAGGTTTCACAACGCTGAAGCCAAACTGATGACGTTCTGCTGCTAAAAAAAGGCAATTCTGCTACTTCCACACGCATTCCTGGCTGCTAAATTGGCAGAAAACTGCTATTCTCCCCCTTCCGCCCGGGCGTCAGATGAGTGCCAGAATTGCTGCAAGGAAAGGGGTGGACAGGAATGTGGAAGGAGAAAGGGGGGAGATGTAGGTCCACCCTTTCTGTAGCAGTGAGACAGTGGATTGCTATAGCCACATTGGGAAGTGTTATCCATTGGCAGATACATGAGGTAGATTGTTTTGTTCTCTGTCTCATCCTCCTTTCAGATCCAAGTGCCTAAATTCATCCCCTAAAATCAGCTGTGTGGATTCCACCCTACGTGTGTTATGTTGGTGCCGTCAGACCCATCAACATTCAAGGCTTTTTCACTAGTGCTTGTTTAAGCATAGAATAGCATATATCCATTGATCCCAAAAACCTTGCAGTCCAAATACACGATTAGTGCAGGAGCAGATTAAATTAGCTGCATTTTTTTCATCTGACGCTGAGGTTTTTTAAAATCCGGCCTGTTTTAGGTGTGTAAAGAAGGCATGTTCTCCTTCGAGAGTATGCTTCAGCTTTAAGTAAACAGAATCAGAGAGGCAAAAGTACAAGTGTTCACATTGCTCTACGGTTGTTATAAACAAACAGCGACAGGAGCTGGGATTATTCAGTCCTTTCCTGCTCTTGTTGTAGGACTGTACCTTGCAGTAGAAAAAAGAATCACGTGGTCAAAGTTGAGGTTTCTAAATCTGGAAAAATAAAATATTGCTACTGCAGAAGTCCTTGACAGTAGTAAAATTTCACGTATTAGGAACCAGTTAGACCGAAAATCCAACCTGTACACACTGAATAATGAAGCTGGCATCCAGGAGTAGCACACATCGGCCACAGGCGATCTTGATGGATTAAGAGAGATCGAACTACATAGAAATCACTTTCATCTGTATCTTTACTCCTTTTTCTCTTCTAATTTTGGCCTGGTTGTAACTTTGCGGATAACTATAGCCAGAAGCAGCATTCTCCACTATCAGAAGAGCTGCAATCCCAGATATCTTCATAAAAAATAGTATTTTTTTCAATTCTTAGAAAGTTTAAGATTGTAATCATTCTGAGGGGTACAGAACAGAACTGACAAGTCCTGATTTTAAATCTCACTGTTGTCTTTACTGTTGTACCTTTTAACTGTCCCTATTAAAATACCCTGGATGGTATCATAAAGCTTCATTTGACAAGTGTCCCTCCAATGTGGCTTTCTCTTCTGCTGAAGGATTCTGCTCCTTCAGAGCAGCCTGGTGCCTGTCCAATGGGAATTACACAAGTCCATGAGGTTCAAATGAAGGCACTGTCAAATCAAGCTTAGCCAAACAGTCAGTATTTCTTGGCTTTGTTTTTTTCGTATTTTTGTTTTGTTTGTTTTGTTTTCAGAAATTTATTGCTAATTCATTTTCATTTCACTATTTAGAGCAGTCTTCCTACAAACAAATCTAAAAATTGTCAGCCAGGAGAAGAAAATCACATTCTGATATCCTAGATGTGTTAGGGTGACAAGGGAGACATACAATAAGAAGTATGACCTTCAGCCTGTAGGTCATACTGCCTTTCAAAATACTTGTAAACTTTCAGAAAGTAGTTCCTGTAGAAACGACTGATTTAAATGAGTGTCTGCTGTTTTTTCTGCTATTCCAAAAAGATCCATAGTTCAGATTTTATTGATTTCTGGTGCTCTCAAATCAAATGATACACGTGTGATGTTCTAAAATACTCTTTAATTACGTTTCTTTTTCTTTTGCTACTCTACAGTAGTTGGCTAGCTTGTGATGTACAACAGATGGATCAGAATTTGACTTTTCTTACTCTCCTTTGCCCATCTAAACAGACTGACCACTTTCTTGCTTTGTTTTTTATCAGTTTTTGATTCAGTTACTAAATTTCAAATGCTGTTGTCATGTTTACTAATACACAAAGAAGAGAAAAAAGGCGTAAGTAGCATGAAACTGTGGGGACTGCATGTTACCATAGAAAACAGTTTTTGTGTCATCAGGTGTCTGTGTGTTCCTGTGCATGCTTTTATCCATCCTTTATGCATAAAAATAATTCAGCACATCTCTGGCTGATTTTGTTTCTAAACTAGAAATATGAACTCTGAAGTTAGGCAGTTAAAATTATGCAGCATAACTTTACACCTTTGTACTGGTGGTTTGCATCATAAATTAATAATCAAGGCGGAATACTTTAGAAATAGGGTGGAGATTAAAGATGCAGTGTCACCAATCCATGCCAGCCACATTCTAGATTTCTTCATCTCACAAAATACATTGCACAAGGTAAGAGAATGTCACAATTTTGAAAAGAGTATTGCAGAAAAAGAGAAGAGCGAGATCGTGAGAGAGGTGGAGTGACAGGAAGTCAGGAATTTTTACTCTGTATTTTTACTCTTCACAGGACAAGAACAAGGCAGGTTCAAAGAAATAGAAAGATGTTAGATTCAAAATTGGCAAAAAGGGGCTACATCACTAGATTTTGAAACCCACTGCTGGGCCAGGGTTTTAAAAAAGAACCACTGTGCATATCGTCTGATCCTTGGGCTGGCGTATGTTGATGCAATTTTGTTTAATTTGTCAGCTCTGATGGTTTGAGTTGGGACCTAAACTACTGACTTGCTTCCTGCAGGGTGTGCTGACCTCCAAAGCCTTGATACTATGCAGCCAATGGAAAGAAAAAGACAGGGCTACATTCATGAACTCATTCAGACCGAAGAAAGGTATATGGATGATCTTCAGCTTGTCTTAGAGGTGAGACGTCTTTGACGTGAGGACGCATTTGGAAAAATAGCACCTCTGTCCTACTGAAAAATAGCCATAAAGTTAAGAAATGTGAAAAGCTAGAGGAAGAAAGCAGTGTTACATAAGCGCCTGCCTTTCTTCTGAGTGTTATGTGGTTGTCCACCAGGCCAAACCATCACTTTATGACAGCCGTCTTAAAAGGACCTTCCTACTTTCCAAATCCTTTTCTTAGAGCTTGGGCCAATGTTCAATTTTAAGATGAAGGGCTGTGCTTTGCAGCTCTGGCAAAGTTGCATAGGTTCATGAAATAAGTTATGAAAATACCATGGGAGTTTATTGACTGCCTTCACCTCTGATTTGATTGCTGAAAGCAAGACTGCCTCACAAGGTGGGGCAATAACTGGCCAGCATTAGAAAGGTCTTGGGAATCGAGCTTGACCTCTCTATATATGAAGAAATTACGTTGTGAAGCGTTAAACACATTAGACAGATAGATAGACTGAATTACACAAATGTTCTAGCATCAATAGTATTGTGCTGAGGGGCCCCGAAGGAAGGTGTAGTTTTGCATGCTGGTTAACTGTGTCGGTTCTAGGGATGGAGATATATGTGACGTGTAAGTGGAAGTTGAGTAGCATTTGACTCTAAAATCATGGTATGCTCTTCCACTGTAAAGTCAGGCTGCAAGTCCCACTGCTTGGTACTGCTTCACAGATGGTGATGCCAGTGTCAGACTGAGGTCACAGCCTTAGGAGAAACAGAGACAGCTCTCCCATGTGCCAGAGAGGAACTGATTTGACTTCTCACAAGAAAATGGACACTCAGCATTTGAAAGAGTAAAACCATTGCTAATCCAAACAAGATGAGATAGAGAGCTGTCTTTACCTGTGAAGAGCTGCTCACCTTTCTGATTTTTTGACTGCAGGTTTTCCAGAAACCAATGGCTGATTCGGGCTGTCTCACAGAAGGAGAGATGGGGCTGATCTTTGTTAACTGGAAGGAACTTATCATGTCAAATACAAAGTTACTGAAGTGAGTGCTTACCCACATTTGTGTCTCCTAAATAAGAGTTCACTTAACCTTTTATATTTTCCTCTTCATCTTTATTCTCTTATTCCTTTCCCCAGGAAGTTTTCTGCTTTTATAGCAAATATTTCTCTCCTTGCTCATTATTTGCTGTGTACATGAGCATTCAGAGCAGCTAAATGCATTCCAGCTACCTCCCAAAGAAGGAGCTGTAACGAGAGAGACAGTAATAAGCAGTGAGAACGGATGCACACTTACTGTAATGTCTTAGAAATAAAGCCTACAGAAAGAGCATATAGTGGAGATGTTCTTCCCATTTTCTGCAAAGCAACCTTCTGTTCTCTAAAAATAAACTTTATAAAAAGTGGATAATAGTTTATTAAAATGGGATGCTGCCAATTGTCCCAAAACCTCAAAGGAGAATCTTAGTCACCTAGACCTATCAGGCAGATATTTCGGTTCAACAGGTTATGCCAGCAGCTCCCTCCTGGTTGAGGCTGGGCCCTGCTCTGCTTGGGCACAGCCTGTGCTGTTTAGTAGACTTGACCTCACAGGCTTGCATCCTGTCAGAGAGGGGTGTTGTAAGGGTTGTGATTTAGACCTTCCAGCCTTCCCAGCAAAGTTGGTGGTCTCTTTCTTCTCTAGAGCCTTGCGAGTGCGTAAGAAAACTGGAGGAGAAAAAATGCCAGTGCAGATGATTGGGGACATCTTAGCAGCAGAACTTGCTCACATGCAGGCCTACATTCGGTTCTGCAGCTGCCAGCTGAATGGAGCTTCGTTGCTGCAGCAGAAAACTGATGAAGATGCTGATTTCAAAGACTTCTTAAAGGTTATCTAGTTTAGTAGCTTTTGTACCTTCTCCTTTTCTTGGTAACAGGACTTATTCAAAAGCCTATCCAACCAGCATCCCCCAGATCAAAATAATCCGGAAGAGTAAAATCTTGCAAAAATAGATAAGAACCTTCCAAGGAGTATTTATATGGTGACCATGGTAACGCTGTGTGCTTGTGCTTTATGATTACGTATCAGCCTTTCTCTCTAACGAATGCCTGGAAAAATTAATCTTGATCAGGCACTTTTCAGTGCAATGAGGCAACTGTTTCTTGATGAGTAATGCAATGTCTCTGTTTGTTAAACTGTCTGGATTGCACCACAGAAACTCGCCTTGGACCCTCGCTGCAAAGGAATGCCTCTCTCCAGTTTCCTCCTGAAACCTATGCAAAGAATAACACGCTACCCTCTGCTCATAAAGAGTGTGAGTACCCTGGGGCGGGGGGGTCTGGTATGCGAATGCTTTTGAGTTTGATCTCTATAGTAAAGGCAAAAAAAGCCGAGGCCTTTATGAGGACTTCTCCGAAAGCACAGAGAAAGCGCACCTGTGCTTACCTCTGTTTTGATCTTGGTTTCCCCCCCCCCTTTTTGATCCATACCAGATTTTAGAGAATACTCCAGAAAATCACCCAGATCACAGTAATCTCAAGCTTGCCTTGGAGCGTGCGGAGGAGCTCTGTTCTCAGGTTAACGAAGGGGTGCGTGAGAAGGAGAACTCGGACAGGCTGGAGTGGATACAGTCCCATGTCCAGTGCGAAGGTCTTGCTGAGGTAACTGCATTGATGCGTTGTACTGCAGAGACTTTTGCAGTTCCTTTTGGAAAGGCCAGAAGGGGAAAAATGGGAGCATTTGCTCTCATCCGTCATTGGAACATGATCCATTGCTGATCTCTTGGCACAGAAGCTTGTATTAAATTCTGCTCACAGCTATAATATGATGAGCTCTCATCTTTTTTGTATGATTTGGGCAGTGGAGAAATCCTGTTTAAAAGTGATACCATGTACACTTGTTAAATGAACAGAAACAACTCCCATCTCTGAAGTACTGCTTGTGCTGTCCTTGGGCTAAGTCAGATGTTACTACGTGTAATTCTGCTTAGCGTGCATTTCCCAGGGTTTTCCTTCCACAAAAAGGGCACAGAAACCCTCACTGCCAGATCCTCAAAAGTACATAGGGTTCAGACCCCTACATACCTTTCAGGACAGCCTTCAAACTGAGGTGTCGTAGCAACTCTCCTTTGACTGTGTAAGGAGCTGTAAAGATGAGCGGGAACTAATGTCTGTATTAACTTGCTGCTGCTAATGGCTTTTTTCTCTCCTAGCAACCGATTTTCAACTCCCTCACGAACTGCTTGGGACCACGCAAACTCCTGCACAGCGGCAAGCTGTACAAGGCAAAGAGCAATAAGGAGCTGTATGGCTTCCTTTTCAATGACTTCCTGCTTCTCACCTACATGGTTAAACAGTTTGTCTCTTCCAGCTCAGATAAACTGTTCAGCCTCAAATCCAACTCCCAGTTCAAAATGTACAAAATGGTGAGTGAATTAAGAGGTCCAGCGGTGATGTTTATACAGTGGGACCTGGCTTCTGATGAGGAATGCTGTTTTGTCTGCTGGGATTAGCTGTCTAGCCCTGTTTGATCATTTGCTGTCATACAGGCACATACTGGCAGCCAGCACACACAAATGCCATTGGACTGAGTCCCTTGAAAAGGACAGGCTCTTTGTCTTGGTTTAATAAGCCTTTCCATCCACTTTGTGGCGAAAGGACAGAAATAGCATCGTACCTGTGCATAATACTGCTGAGCAGCTGAGATGTTCACAAACATGAGCTTTAAGTTAGTGCAGGTTCTTGCATGTTTAAACACCGTGTACTGTTGCTGTATATTCTCAGGGTGACATTGCCACAGTGATGTTTGTTTGCTTTTCTTTCAGCCTGTTTTCCTTAATGAAGTCCTAGTGAAACTGCCAACAGACCCTTCAAGTGATGAGCCAGTTTTTCACATATCACACATTGACAGAGTTTACACCCTTAAAACTGACAACATTAATGAGCGGTGAGTAGTAAACTTTTTGAACACGGCTATAGCTGTGTTTCCAGTGGACAGACCGGGGGGCTCTGAGTTCGGAGAACAGGACTTAGCCTCTCAATCAGAAAATAAACTCATCTGACTCATTTGAATTGCAGTGTTCTCTCATGTTGTTCTGCTTGTCCAGCAGCTCTTGCAGTGGAGTTCAAAGCCACATCTAGTACTCCTAGATGTTACAGTTGTACAAAAGAATAGTTTAGGACTGCAACGTCCAGCATGCCATAGGATTTTTCCCCAGTCCTGGTCACTGTTTAATATGACCCAGCAATCTTTACTGAAAAGGCAGCTCCAATTGCATTTATTTTGGCTGATGTGGAAATGTGGCATAAGATTAAATCCAAAGACTCCATAGCTTTAGTCCTTGAATTAACTTAACTAACTAACTGATTTGTGATGCCTCTGACATCCAGTGGGGGGGGGAGGGGGGGAACAGTAAAAAAAAGCTATTGGGATAGAGTTACTGATGACTGAGGAATTTCCTGCCTGAGATACAACCCTGACCATGGGGATTGCTTTCTGCAGGACTGCCTGGGTCCAGAAAATCAAAGCAGCATCAGAGCAGTACATTGAAACTGAGAAGAAGAAACGTGAAAAGGCTTACCAAGGTACTGAGTTGTGTACTCTCCTCATCCACCTGCCCCCGCCCCGGTTTAGGGCCTTTTCTGGGGGACGCAGTAGTATCTGCGTAGGCTCTCACTCTGGGTCTGTTGCCAGTTTCATGCCTACAACCAAACCATTTAATTCTGACCTTTTTATTCCCAGCTCGCTCACAAAAGACCTCAGGAATAGGACGCTTGATGGTGCACGTGATTGAAGCAACAGAGTTAAAGGCCTGTAAACCCAATGGTAAGTGAAGGAATTAGTGCTAAATAACTTTGATTCCTGCAGTGTTTGGAAAGGCTTGTTGCAAGCAGTTTGGTGGTTTGGGAAACACTGTGGTTTCAGCTACAGCTTCTGAACGAATTAGCCATCACTAAGCTCCAGAGGACCCAATAAAGGAACAGCTCTGTGCTGCCATAGGATATAGGGGTTGTATAGCCCACATTTTCTAGATGGCAGCAGAAATGTGTCCAAGCAACCTTCAGACTGGGAGGGAGGTTGCTGCATTGCTGAGGTGTTTCTCTGCTTGTTCTGTTAAGGGAAAAGCAACCCGTACTGTGAAATCAGCATGGGCTCACAGAGCTATACTACCAGGACCCTGCAGGACACCTTGAACCCTAAGTGGAACTTCAACTGCCAGTTCTTCATTAAGGATCTCTATCAGGATGTCCTGTGTATCACCATGTTTGACAGGGATCAGTTTGCACCTGATGGTAAGTGTGAACATCCGTTTCAGGAAAAGAACGTGGGTGTTTTTTTTTTTTGTTTGTTTGTTTTGGTGTGACTTGGGGTATACAGTTTCTCACTAGCAGCTTCTACAGGTATGAGCACTTTCTGAGAAATGTATAAAAATGAGGCCTCCTTACTCAAGATGCTGGCTAGCCCTGCAGAGCCGATGAAACTCTGGGCAATCACACTCGGACCCTACTCCACCTCGTGCATCCACAACGCAATTATTTTTTTTTGTTAAGCTAGGGAAACAGAAAAGTTGAAAGTAGAAATTCCTCCCTCTCACTATAGGCAATGCCTGAAAATAAGGTGCTAGGTTATATTTGCAGGCCAGTAGTTTCAACTGTTCTTTTTTCCTTGGAAACTGAGCACATTTTTGGCAATCAGGAGCTTCCAGTATGCTTTAAAAGGGTCAATGCTTTTTTTTTCAGGGCTCTGATACACAGTTAATTAGTGCAGATTTGCAAGATTTTTGCCTTGAGCTGAGGTGCCATATGTGTAAGTATAGTTTAGGCCTTTCCTCATGTGAGGTAACGTGACTTTGCTTGCTGGTTTCACTGCAAAAACAGTTCCTGTGGCTCAGCTGATATGTGATTACTGGGCATGCTCCCTTCTGCCAGCTGGAGAGTGGAGTTCTTCGTGACGGTTCATGGTAAACTAGCACCTTTTAATCCATATACACTTGTGTATATATAGACATATATAAACATGTGTGTATACACACATATATATGTTACATGCTCTACATGTATACATGTATTTTTGTATACATGTTTATATATGAAATGGCTACAAATAGGGTATATAATTTTTGAATAGGACTGTAAACCTACTAGTGAGAGTGGCTTTTCATGGTCATCGTCCTTGTGAAAGCAATGATAAATATATATGAAAGCCTAATTAACAGTTGGCTGAGCCAAAAATAGTTGAATTTTTTTTGTTTGGCTTCGCAGCACTGCAACTGACTTGTGAGCAAACTTCATCCTTTAATTCTGTCCTTCCCGTACTAAGACAGGAGGACTTTTGAAATAGCATGACTGAAAGGGGAACAGATATTTTTAAAGCCCTTAGATCAAACTGTGACATAAAGGCATGTTTTCCATTCTAATTCCATGGCGTTTTGGTCTTCTTAAAAGCCTCTATTTTTCTCAGTACTGGCCGATTTACATAAAAGTCCGGTCAAACAGGAAGCTTGAGACTAATGCTCCAGTGCTGAACACTTGTGCCTATGAACTTACTCTTTGTGTTGAGATTGCCGTTTGTTATAACTTGCAGTTGTTACAGCTAGGAGTGTGATAGTACAGCAACATTAGTGATAGTGGTAAAAGACGAATAGCCAAAGCTATAGCTAATGTGCAAAATCAAAGCTAGAGAGTTGTAAGGATGCTGCTGCATGTGACATCAGGAGAAACTGCTGCATAGACCTGAGCTCTCCTGTCTGTTGGGGATAGCTTCCTCTTTAGATGACACTGGCATATTGTTCTGGTCTACATACTACGTAGCACTGCTTCTTAACCATGCTCTTTCAGGTCTTCTAAGCAAAGATGTCTTTGTTTAATGACGATTCTTACTCGTTTGCATTTGTCCAACAGATTTTTTGGGTCGCACTGAAATTCCAGTAGCAAAAATCAGAACAGAACAAGAGAGCAAGGGACCCACAACTAAACACTTACTGCTACATGAAGTTCCAACTGGCGAAGTCTGGGTCCGTTTTGACCTGCAACTCTTTGAGCAGAAAACACTCCTTTAAGAACACTTTTTTAATTTATGAAGGACAAATGAAGCTATCGGCCTGAATGTTTTTTCCAAAAGCTTTTTTCCCCAAGCTGGTT